ACAAGCTGTTTTATCCACATGTAAAACAGGCCTACACAATTTTTAAAAACCACATGCAAAGACAAATGATTTTGATTTTCAACTTTCCATGCTTCTCTAAAGGCCCTCTTATTATGAATATTATATAAATACTATATAAGTTATTCCACTTAAGGATATTTACTAGATCAGGATCAAATGCATGAAGTTTGCTTTATGCTTGACTGGTCCGACCAAATTACATAATAGTGAGCTCCCACACCTCTCTGTGAGTCCATGCGCACAGAATTTCCACACCGTGCACATAGGAAAATTTGTGACTACACAGAAAAATCCACATGGAAAAACATGGCGAGCAGGCAACAGCTCCTGCTGGTGAGGGTTTTTAAACATCTAGAGATCCTGTGATTTAGTTCATAAATACCTCAACTATCAATAGTTTGTGGTTAAATTCCTGGAAAGAAATGACTGTCGCTCTTGGGTGGCATAAAGAGGCTTTGATAAAGTTGTAAATGTGTTTTCTGCTTCCTCGTGTGGTGTGATGTTGTCAGCTTGCAGCTTGTGCTGAACACCCCCCCTGGAGCCGGCCAGAATGGGGGAAAGCCACACAGAGCATAAATGCTACAGACGCTGTGACGGGCAGCTCATTTTCCACGCAGATTGTAAGTGCATTAAGCATAATGAGCCTTTAACTAGTGCTTGTCAAATGTTCTGCGTAAGGTTGGCAGAGGATTAGTAACAAGAAAGGTAGGGGTGGTATTTTCTGGAAATGTCTAAAATGATAGCAGATTTAAGATTTTCTTTGTGCTGCTGTTACGATTGCTTTCCTCTTCCACCAGAGAGGGACAAACAAATTACTTGATTGCTTTGTCAACATTCTCAAACTATTCCAAAAACAAATTATAGGAGGACAAAGTTGGAGGGGAGGCGATAAAGAAATTTGAACTTTGAGAGGGCCAAACTTTTCTCCATCTTTCTTTTTTCCTTTTCAATATTCCATCTACACCTTCAGTCAAACCGTAATCTTTCACAAGTCTCTTCCCATATTAATCTGCCTCTCTCCCTCTCCTTTATTCTAAAAGAGAGGGGGAAAAAATCATGTTAGCATCAGCCTGAAGGCAGTCTTATTTAGATTAGACAATATTGGCTTTTCAACTTAAGTTATTTCTTGTTATTTTTTAAGAACTCTGAAATCAAATCTGAAAAAAGTCTCTAAAAGTCTCTAAAAGTCTCTCTTTGAATCAAGCATACTCTTAGCATTCTACATTTGGTATTGCACGGCCTTAATTGACATTTTGCAATAACCAACATTAAAGATAAAACAGTCAACCCTGGCATTACTATTATAAGACCACCGAAAAAAGGAAAATTCATGGAGTTCATTTTATTTACAATTTTACTGGGCGAAAATATATGTTTTGCTTTTCCTAAATAGTTTGTGCAATACACAACTGTTAATATTCAAAATACCTTCTGAAAATAATCCAATTTAAAAGAAAATGACACTTTTCTTTAAACCCAAAGTTTTGAACAAATTTATTTCATTTAGTCTGATGTAAAAGTCTTATTCTAAATGTCCATTTTGCATTAGCTATGTGAGGAAGATCATAAAGGTTGGAAATAAATGTTTGCGTTTAATTAATCTAGTCAATACGAAAAGATACCAGAAGGAAACATTGAAGACAACATTATAAATGTCTTAAGATATTTTGATTCATTCCCACCACATATATCAAAGTCAAGGCCCACAGGCTGGATCTGCCCGCAAATTGTTTATCCATGGACTCGGAGGATATTTAATTACCAATAGAACCGGCCCAAAAGCCACAGTCGCTTGTGCGCACTGCTGTGACTTTGCGGGCTACCGTTGCATTGTGGGGAATGTAGTTTTGGTGCAGTATTGTTGCACGCATCAACACTACGTTCCCAGGGGAAAACATGATTGTGTTTTTCTTTTTCTTTAAGTTTTTTGTTGTGGTTTGCATGTTTGGATTGTTTTGGTTTTTGCTTTTCCCCCTTTAACAATCCAAGCTGGGCTGAAGTCGGTTGTCTAAGGAGGCGGAGTGTCCTAACTGCACTCCACAACTGCTGTGCGCAGGTGTCAGCAGAGGCTAATTGAAGCCAAAATAAAAGGAGCCTGGATGGAGGGAGGGACGGAGCTGATCTTGCAGGTGATAAAGACGGACACGCTGCTGAACGAGGGGCAGGTGGGATCGGCACGATACTCTGACCGAGACAGAGCGCTACTTACAGGCACGGACCTCTGCCATGACTGTGCCGTCTGTTTATCTCCTGGTACTCTGTGCCTGGCTTGAAGATCCCACCAATACGAACAATGAAACTTTGATTTATTTTATTTTTTACGTATTTTACTATCTGAAAGCAGTGATCGGTAGGATCGGAGAGCAGCACAGTAATGCATTTTCGGTGTATTTATGTATTTATCTTAATACGTTTATTAATAGAAAAGTTTAATAATATTGATATTAATATATATATATATATATATATATATATATATATATATATATATATA